TTTGCGAAGGGCCGCCACGAAATCTGCGATGGTCTCGCCTCCGGCCTGGTTCCGCTTGTAAAAAGCGTGCCGGCAGGCGATCTCCGACGGTTGTGGAGAATAGTGAGCCTTAAGCTTCTCCGTGATGTCAGCGTAGGTGACAGTCTTTATATCAGTTGGGGCCACCAACGACCTGGCTATGTCGAAGGTCCCCTTCCCGCAGGAACTCAGGAGGCATGCTCGTTTCTTCGCCTCATCGGTGATGTCGTGGGTCTCCAGATGGAACTCGAACCTGGACAGGTAGGAGTCCCAGTCTTCTGAGGAGGGTTCGAAGCACTCGAACTTCTGGCTTCCAGCCATCGGGGGAGACTTGGGCACCGGAGCTGGTGGCGCCTCCGCCGGATCGGCTGCTGTGCTTTGCCCGCTTTCTTCCGAGTCCGAAGTGTGGATGTCCGCAGGGCTGCCTACCTGCTCTAACATCCCATCCTCGTCGCCAATTGTTAGATCGCGCTAACAAAGGACTCTTAGAGTGATTCAGCAAGTGATTCAGCTTTATTGGAAGTAACGAACAAGCACTCAACTCAGTAAGAAACCAGAACAGAAAACAGTGGGAGCCTATGCTCCTTTTAAACATAACCGGGCTAATGTAGCCACGCCTATTTACAAATAACAACCAATGAGATTGCTAGAATAAAGACCAATGGGAGTCTTTCCCTCCTCGGGAATGGTATCGCTGTTACGAAGCGACCAATAGGAAGTTCGCTCAGAGGAGCCCTGGTCTGGCTCGAAGCTTAACATGGGAGTCCTATGAGGTGCTCCATGTAATCATTTCAATACATTACAACACCCTCTTCCAGATCATTTATAAAAAATATTGAAAAGTACCAGGCTCAGAACCGAGCCCCATGGCATGACACTGGACACCTCCCTCCATTCAGTCCACAGTCCTTTAATTTACCCATCTGAACATCATGGGGAACCCTGTCAAAAGCTTTACTGAAATCCAGGTAAACAACACCAACAGCATTCCCTCAATTCAGAAAGCTCATCACTCAATCAAAGAAGGAAATGAGGTTGGTCTGGCAAGACCTCTTGGGGACAAATAGGTGCTGACTTCCCCAAATCACCAAGTTGTCCTTCAGATGTTTGTAGATTGATCCCTTTAAAATCTGTTCCAATATCTTTCCTGGGCCAGAGGTCAAACTGACTGGCCCGTAGTTTCCTGGGTCATCCTTCCTTCCTTTTTTGAAAATTGGGATAACATTTGCCCTCTTCCAGTCTTGTAGCACGTCTCCTATCCTCCAAGAGGTCTGGAAGATGGTGGACAGAGGCTCTGCAAGCTCTCTAGAAAGTTCTTTGAGCACTTTTGGGTGCATACCATCTGGCCCAAGGGACTGAAACTCATTCAGTGCAGCCTGGTGCTTCTCGACTACCTCTCTGCCATTGTCAACCAGCAGTCTGGACGTTGTGCCTTGCCTACTACCATCTCTAGATGAGCCTGTTCTCTTTTTCATGGGAAGAACTGAGGCAAAATAAGCACTGAGCCTTTCTGCTTTCACCCAACAGTGGGCCTATTGCCTCATTTATCTTGCATTCATTCCTCACATATCTGAAGATTTACTTCTTGTAGCAAGCCTCCCTGACCAGCTTTAGCTCACTGTGAGCTTTGGCCTCTCTGATGGCTGACCTACAGTGCCTAGCAACCTGCAGATACTTTTATTTAGAGGTATGTCATTGCCTCCATTTCTTGAACATTTCCTTTTTCTCCCTTAGCACATCACGGAATTCTCTGTTCATCCACATTGGCTTCTTGGATCCCCTACCATGTTTCCTTCTTGTTTATTTTGCTAAACCCTGTGCTTCCTTCTGTTCATTTCATTGGGGCAGACCTTCCACTTTTTAAAAGAAGCCTTTTTGCCTTTGAGGACACAAAATTACCTGCTGTAGTCACCTCTCATATTTCCTTCTCTATCTCAAGCTGGATCTCAAGAGTTTGATCACGTGATCAATAGTACAACCCCTCCTTTAAGTAACCCTCAGGGCCTACTATCTCCACCCATAATGAATCTGTCAAAGAGTTTATTCTGCTAATGTTTTCTAGTTTATTTGACTATGCCCTCTATACAAAGCAACATAAACACCTCCCTCCCTGCCCTGCCTATAGAGATTATACCCAGGGCTGGATGTATCTCCATTGATTTTCCCCAGTCCACCATGATTCTAAAGCACCCATAATATCTAAATTGACATTTAGCACCAAGCATTCAGCTTCCCAATCTTGGCTTGGAGGCTTCTAGTATGGCCATATAGATATCCATAACACATTTTCCATGCCATCAGCACTCACCTCCCTTGGCCCCTCTGTCTACACAATTCTCCTTTGTCACCCTGCTTTCACTCCCAAGTTCTGTTGTGTTCCTTCTAATAGTTCCCTGAGTATTTATACTATTGTTCCTTTGGACTGAGTTATCCCAAACGGGGGCTTCCCAGCTCAGGCCTGTAACTACAGCGGGGCATTTTGGGGGCCCGCCCCCTTCATTAAAAGCCCTGCCCCACAAATAGCCATGCCAGAAATCTTATTTTTGCATGTTTCCCAAAGGCTCATGGGAATGCTTTCGAAAGACTCGCCATGACCTAGGTGGTACACAGCAGGACTGGGCTAGCAGAAAGGGGGATCGTTGGAGATGTATGGAAGGTGCTGCTCTCCAGTGCCCTTCTCAGCTTCCTTGCCCTGTGGAAGGGATCTCAAAAGGCATTTAAATGTCTTCTGAAGGCAGTTAAATGCCCTCTGAGCTGTTTTTTCTTAGGAACTGGTACATTCTCTGCCCTATCCCTTGAAAGGAAGGGCTAGAAATAGGCTCGGAGCCTTCCCCCTTTAAAGACAGGCATTCGGATTAATTTAACTGTAATTTAACTGCCCCCTTAAAATTTAAATGCCCGCCCCAACAAAAAAAATCCTGGCTACAGGCTTGTCCCAGCTCCTGTCAGCTTTCCCCCTGGAATTAGTTTAAAAACTGCTCTGACACCTTTTTGAAATCAAGCACCCACAGTGTGACTCCCCTTCAATTCAGCTGAAGATCAAGTCTTTTACATAGGCTCAGCTTGTCCCAGAAAGTTCCTGTCAAACCTTGCTATGCTATGCTTGCTTCGGTTGGGGGGAGGGCACTCCTGAGGGTGGGGGTGAGTGTGTGCTGGAGTGACTGGGACCTTTGCTTTAGAAGATGTAACTTTCCACCAGGCGTGCCCTTCTCCTCCCTTTTCTGCTTTCCCAGGAGAAGCGACCTTGAGCACATACTCGTACCCTCTCGAACTCTAGATTACCAGGACATATATCTCCCCTGGTTGGCATGGCAATTAGGCAAAGTGTGAATGTGAGTGTGATGTATGCTTGGGGGTTGGATGGGACCTGTTTGATTTTCTATAATATGTTTGTACCCGCCAATAGACTTCAGTTCTAACACAGTGACTTTTGGATCTTGCATACTCTACAATAAACTTATCACTGCCAACGTGAGAGTTATTCAGTGTAACTAGACGGGGGTCTGACAGTTCCCCATTGCCTAACAAATCTAAACTCTTTCTCCTGGCACCACTTTGTCATCCATGTGTTGAGACTCCTTATCTGTGGTTGACTAACTGGCCCAGATTTGTTTGTCACGTTTTCCTTCTACCTGTGGAGTCTCTGAAGTATAAAGCAATCCTCATGATCCATCCAGGGGCCAGCCAGTTTAATATAGAGATATTTGCATGGGGGCATTGCATACATCAGAGCAACGTCACACCCGGGGCTCCCAGATCCTAGTCTAACCATTATGCCACACTGGCTCTCATATAAAACAAGCCCTCAGCCACAAATTCCCATGGGTTTAAAAGTACATATGTTGTTATAAGGATGGAGAATGGTTCCAGAAAATAAGTCATACAAGGAATTCTATAGCGATTCTTGAGAAAGAAAGCTGGAAACGGCTTGTACACCTGGGGAGCCATCTGATCGCTTCTCCTGTAGTGACAGGACTGATAGATTGCTTTTAGCAACAAGTGGCAAGCTTTGAAAATAAGAATTTTGGATTATTCCTTACAGTAGCTGGGTATAATATAAGCATTTCTGCATTGTTTCATTCCAGCATATTGTCTCTTATCTTGTACGTTTGTATTTTTGTGTGCATCGGATATTTGCTTAATTTCACACATGTATAAAATTATTACTATTATATTAAAATTACTGTTGTTGTTATATATAAATTTGTTATAAAACCATTAACTTTCTATTTAGTATTTGTACATAGTGTACATGTGGTCCCTTATCTTGTTTTTGCTGAATTGAAGGAGGACATTTTATAACTGAAACCGTTGCACACCCACACACTTTGTAAACATTGGGCTGAATGTGAAGTAGTTTGTGAAGTAGTTCCACTAGTCTACATACAGTGCAGTGTGTGGAAAAATTTCAGTGAAATGCCCCCAGCTGCTTTCAAACAATGAAACAGAATGTCCACCATCTATGAATAGGTTTTATTGCTGCATTTGAAGGGAAGGGGAGGAACTACAGTTATTGTCAGGAGAAGCGGCTGTTAATCTATTAATTAAGAGGGTTTTTGCTCACAAATATGTAGCACTTTTGGTGACTGGTTCATCCAGACAATTCATGGAGGTGAGTTTGCCCTCCAGAATATATTTAATATTTAGTTGTATCTCCTGGATAAGGGTAAGTGCTATTATCCTTGCTAGCCCACAGTACATCCCCAGTGAGAATATCTGTTGGCACTGTGCACCATCTGGTAATTTCACTAAATACTTCACCATTTGGACAGTACAGAATCCATGTTTCCCGCCCAGCACATACAAAATATTTCTGTTGATCCCCTGGGTAAGGGTAATTGCCATCAGATTTGAGTGCACAAAAATTACCAGGTGGCAAAACAGACCACATACATTCCTTTTTGTATACATCATAGACCATGTCCTGAGAACAATGCCTGATATATGTTGTCTCGTTTACACAAAGAAAGTATTTACGTGGGTCAGATGGATAAGAGTAATTGCCATTGGGTTTTTTTGCACAAAATCCTGTACCAAAAGTTGTTGAAGGTCGAAGGGTGGTAGAAATTTGAAGAGTGGTGGATGGTTGATGGGCAGCAGAAGTTTGAATGGTGGTAGATGGTCGAAGGGTGGTAGAATTTTGAAGAGCAGTGAACGGTTGAAGGCTGGTAGAAGTTTGAAGGGTGGTGGAGAGTCGACGGGTGGTAGAAGTTTGAATGGTGGTGGACGGTCCAGTGGTGGTAGAAGTTTGAAGAGTGGTAGATGGTTGAAGGGTGGTAGAAGTCTGAAGGGCAGTGGATGGTCGAAGGGTGGTAGAAGTTTGAAGGGCAGCAGTTGGTTGAAGGGTGGTAGACATCTGAAGGACAGCAGATGGTTGAAGAGTGGCAGAAGTTTGAAGGGTATCATATGGTATAAAAGTGATAGAAGTCTGAAGGGTGGTGGTTGGTCGAAGGGTTTTTGCTTCCACTGTGATATGTCTGGCATCACTACACTCTGAAAGATATGTGTAAAATCAGATCACTGACTTCTTGTACCAACAGTATTAGAATATCTTAACCAAATCTTAACCAAACCTTAACCAAACAAAGCCAGTTTGGTGTAGTGGTTAAGTGCGCGGACTCTAATCTGGGAGAATCGGTTTTGATTCCCCACTCCTCCACTTGCACCTGGCTGGATGACCTTGGGCAAGCCGTAGCTCTGATAAGAGCTGTCCTTGAAAAAGAGCAGTTTCTGTCAAGAGCTCTCTCAGCCCCACCTACCTCACAGGGTGTCTGTTGTGGGGTGGGGAAGGGAAAGGAGTTTGTAAGCCGCTCTGAGACACCTTTGGGTAGTGAAGGGTGGGGTATAAATCCAAACTCTTCTTCTCTCTCTGTTGGCCACTATAGTTATAAAAAAATAGCAGCAGTGGGAAGGGCGATAAGCTCTACCATGAACTATAGCAATTAACTACCTTCAATTAATTCTGATGTTCCAGTTATAGAACACTACAGAGATATTATTGTGAATAATATGCAATGGACAGAAAGGCAACAGTTCTAAGTGTTCTAAGAGTTCTAAGAACATATTCAGAATTGGGCTGGAAGTTAATTATTGAATACAAATAGGCTTGGCTCCTATGCAGTGCAGGGCAACAGCATCTGAAGGTGAGAACTCTATGATGACCCTCCTCCTACTGCAGCCTTTCATGCCTCCTGAAATCCTCTGCAGCAACACGAGGAAAAAAGTGGATGCTTGCAGTGGAAGTTGGGGAGATCAGCAAGACACCTTCTGCTGTCAGAAAATGTTGTTAGGGTGAAATCCATAGTGGTAGGGTTCCTTTTAAGCTATTACAGAAAACAACAGAATTAATTCATCTAAATACAGAAGTTTCCTGGTGTGCTGATTTAGTTCTTGAAGAAGTACTAATTGTGGCATGGTAGTCCCTGGGGTGGCCTGCCCCTGATGGTCCTTTGACTGGCCCAGCCACATCTGCTGCCCGGGTGGCTGCCAGGAGGGTCAGACCCCTCAAGACTTCTAGCCACTATCACCCAACCTTTCAGAAGCGCTCTTTTTTTTACCTGCATCCAAACTGTATTAGGAAAGTACCCATATTAGGGAAGTACCCCCAGTTGTGAAGGGTCAGGTGCATCATTTGATATGAAATGAGATTTGAAAGATCAATAGTACGTACTTATGGAATGAGGCATACAAAGGGACTGATCATGCACTGCTGAAATCACTGGAAAGTTTGACAGCTGTATAATTTGGCCCTAGTTCATGGTGTGTGTGCCAGTAAGCAGATGCAAAACAAATCAGGCAATGATTAATAATATAAAATATCTTCCTCATTAGAACACAGCAGCAAAGTAAGGGCAGCGCTAAATGTGATTTGATGGTGATTGTGAGCCAGCTCAAGTGGGGGTTTTTTTGCTGGACAGATTATCAATATTAAATAATTAAAAACATAATAAATGTTGAATGAGAACAGCTGCTTTGAGGTTCTTTTCTGGCAATTCCCTTAAAAGTCTCCCGGGCACCCTCTCACCGTTGCCCTCAAGCAGTCTCTTCAGCTCCCTTGTCAGAGGGTAGGGTCCTTCATTGCAGAAGGTGCCTCTAAAGTCATCCAGGTCCATGGCCCATATTGAGCCTCCGCCAAGTTTATGCTTCTTCACAAAATGGGCCTGTAAGTGAAAGCAACCAAGGCAGTGTGAATTCTGTGATTCTGTAATCGCAACACTCAAGCACAGATATTTGTACTGACTATCCTGAGAATCTGAGTTTTTGTTTTTAAAAATAAGCTAGCAAGCACAGCCTTTTGGTGTAGTGGTTAAGTGTGCAGACTCTAATCTGGGAGAACCGGGTTTGATTCCCCACTCCTCCACTTGCACCTGCTGATGTAACCTTGGGTCAGTCACAAGCTCTGGCACAGCTGTTCTTGAAAAAGAGCAGTTTGTGTCAGAGTTCTCTCAGTCCCACCCACCTCACAGGGTGTCTGTTGTGGGGAGGGGAAGGGAAAGGAGTTTGTAAGCTGCTCTGAGACACCTTTGGGTAGTGAAGGGCGGGGTATAAATCCAATCTCCTCCTCCTCCTCCTCCTCCTCCTCCTCTTCTTCTTCTCCTTCTCCTTCTTCTTCTTCTTTTAAAGTGGGAAGCTTAACAAGGCAGACTCAGCTCCCAAACCCATGCAAATTGTTCACTACTGACAGGGAAAAATCAAACTAGTTCAAGGAAAGCTACCCAACAGGCCTGTTATGTTAGGATACACCAGTTAAGAGTATACCTTTGAGGGATGTCTCAACTGGAAAGTTTGAATGTATGAGGCACACATACCTTAATCTGCCCTGGCTTTATAGGTGTGGTTGGTAAAAGGTAAAGGTAAAAGTTCCCTTGCTTGAAAGCCAGTCGAATCCAACTCTAGGGTTGCGGTGCTCATCTCCGTTTCAAAGCCGAAGAGCCAGCGCTGTCCAAAGACGTTTCCGTGGTCATGTGGCCGGCATGACTAAACACCAAGGCGCACGGAACGCTGTTACCTTCCCACTGAAGTGGTACCTATTTATCTACTTGCAATTTCTTGCTTTCGAACTGCTAGGTTGGCAGGAGCTGGAACTAGAGATGGGAGCTCACTCCCTCATGCGGCACCCGGGTCTCGAACTGCTGAACTACTGACCTTCCACAGCCTGCAGTTCAGCGTCTTAACCACTTGAGCCACCGCAGCTCCATATAAAAAAATCTGTACATAAATCTCATACACCTCTGTCATGGCCCAGATCATGACAACCCCACTTTGCATATTTACCAGGTCAAGCACTGGCTCCTCTTTGATATGATGGTGCTTAATTTGTCCTTGTTTTTTCCCTTTTGAGCAGATGTTTGGATGTACATTTTGTAAAGATGTATTAGTTTGCATGTATGTATATTTGTATCTGATGCAGGGAGTTTTGACTCTCAAATCTTGTTGGTCTATAAGGTGCTACTGGACTCTAATTTAAAGTAAAGGTAAAGGTTCCTTTGCTTGAAAGCCAGTCGAGTCTGACTCTAGGGTTGTGGTGCTCATCTCCGTTTCAAAGCCGAAGAGCCAGCGCTGTCCGAAGACGTTTCCGTGGTCATGTGGCCGGCATGACTAAACACCAAAGCGCACAGAACGCTGTTACCTTCCCACCGAAGTGGTACCTATTTATCTACTTGCAATTTCTTGCTTTTGAACTGCTAGGTTGGCAGGAGCTGGAACTAGAGACAGGAGCTCACTCCGTCATGCGGTAACTCGGGTCTTGAACTGCTGAACTACTGACCTTACACAGCCTGCAGTTCAGCGTCTTAACCACTTGAGCCACCACTCAAGTACAATAAAGTTATTCAAATTTTAGTCTCTCATGCTGGTCTCTAGAAATTAGATCTGCATGCATGGGATATATGCATCATGTGTTTGTGCGAGAGAGAGAGAGAGCGCTACTTCTCTTCCCTCCTCTCACAACAAATTTTGTCTAAACAGTAAACTGCTGGATATGATTGAGTTGCAAATAACACAGAGTAGGTACAAAGAATGACTCTCAGCAATGTGGTAGGAGCTCCTTGGTGTGACAATTAAGCATCACAAGTTTGCAAGAACTTTTATTTGTGAGATATATCTCCATCCATCATCATCATCATCATCATCATCATCATCATCATCATCATCATCTATCTATCTCTATCATCTATCTATCTTTCCTGATCACTTTGAGAAGCATGATGCTGAAGCAAAGAAAAGGCCTTACTTTGTAACCAAAACTCTTTTTGTTGTCGTATCCAACCCAGGTCAAACCTCTGTAGGCGTATGGAACCTTCTGGTCATCAAGCCACTGAACAGTAGCACCATGCTTTATAAAGTTGCAGATCTGCAAACATACCATGGTATTAGAAAGATCTTAGCAGTGATCTTATCAGTGTACCATAACACTTGACTACAGTGCCATCAGAGATGCAATATATGGACTGGATCCACTGAAAGAGCTCATGGAAGGTGTTGGCAGAGTGGACTTTCGCTCCCTTACTATTTCCTTAAGCAGCCTGCTGCTTGTTCCAAAACTCTTCTCTGAGGATTGGGACAGCCTCACAAGCAAAATACGCCATAGGATAATCCAGCAATGATGGAGATTCAAGTAAAAACTCTCTTTCCATTATCTACTGCCACAAGGTATGAGCTTCTTTAATATACTGTCTGTTTTTGTTTTAAGTAAAGGTAACTCTTTAAATTGATATCAGGCTATGTTACTGTTCAGTCTATGATGGCTAGACTCACCCACTCTATCACTGATTCAGTTATTGATTAATTTTGTTAGGTGTTATGTGCACAAATTGGACAGGTCCAGTCAGAAGTCAAGGTAGTGCACTTTGAAGCTAAGCAGGGCCAACCCTGGCAAGTACTTGGAAGGGAGACCTTCAAGGAATACCAGGGCTGGAATGCTGATGCAGGCAATGGCAAGCCACCACTCTGAAACATCCAAGCCCAACTAGGGGTCACCAGAAGTCAACCATGACTTCCAGGCAGATGCACACGCACACACAAAATATTCACACACAAAAAGCTAGAGCGCTTTGCACCAATTACAGTATGTCATTGTATGTTGAGCTAAACATCTGACTTGGGGGCAACAGTGGGTTAGGTAAGCCATAGGAAAGCTAAAAAGCAGAGAGCTTCTTATTTCCACCCAGGGGTCGTTTTGTAGAAAAAGAGCTAGGGGAACTCATTAGCATAACTCATTAGCATATGCCACACCGCCTGACATCACCGGACGTGTGTCATAAGGGCACACACCCCGCCCCCAACGGTCCTGGCCGCCGCCGCCAGCCTTGCAGCTCCACTGCCGAGCCCCATGAGGGGCCCGGCAGTGGACCTGCAAGGCCGGTGGGAGTGCAAGGAAGCCCCGCGAAGGCCCTCCCTGGCCCCAGGCAGGCAGGGGTAGGGAGAGGCAGGGAGGAAGCAACTTACCCTCCCTCTTCTCCTGCCTCTTCCTGGCTGAATGAGGGCCGGAAGCGGGGTGGCCAGAAGCAGGGGGCGGGGCTTCGTCATGTGCCCCGCCCCCCCGTACCTCACCCGGGAGAACTGCGATCCCCCGCGATCCCCCCCGAAATGACCTCTGTTTCCACCATTTCTTTACACCTCATAGTATGACAGGAATCCAGCCTCATGGGTATAATGTCCTGGATGGGCAGATCCGGAAGCAGGGGCACCCACTGATGTGTTCCTGGTGCTAATCTTGAAGGTACGTCCATAACTGGCAAACCCCATGAGAAGTTTGTAAGCGGGAGCACCTTTTTGGATCCAGTACAGCATGGCAAACTTCTGCAGGAAAGACAGAAATAACTCTGTAACTGATCTTCAAACACTTGTCTGATGGTTATGAAAATAAGCAATGTTTCATGTTCTTACGCAGCTGGAATGCGGGCTTTCCTCAGAGTGGTTACCAGCATACAAGGGGCTGTTGTGCCTTGTCACTCTATCAGAAAAACCATCATGGAAATTGTAGGCCATCACACTAATGTAATCAAGATGACTGCAACAAAAATAATTAAGAATTAGATCAGCACTAGTAACCAGGTCTAGAAAGATTTTTTTAATTGTTACACCAGGCTTTGTTTCCCCAAAACTGCTCTCAGGAAAATCAAGCATAGTTTTCTTTCAGCTCACTTTGACAGTTTGTTAACTTCATATGCAGCATCAATGATTTCTTTCTGAGCACCAACAGCTGCAGTAAGTAACAGCTTCGTATTTCCAGTCTCTCTGGCCTCTTTTTCGAAAGCTGCCGTCATTTCCTAGGAAAGCAAAACTCTTTTCAGCTTTCTTCCCTGCTTGCTTAGTAGAACCAAATAATCGGCTAAGCCCGTTGATTCCATACCTTTGTTAGCAAAGTAAAGCGATGCTTGTCCTTAGGGGGACTTCCCCTACATCCAGGATATTCAAAGTGCAGCTCAATCCCATCAAAGCCAGAGATCCGCAGTATGGGTATAGCCGAGTCAATGAAGCTCTTGCGGGTGGCTGCTGTGGAAAGCATGGGGCTGAAACTGGGGGTGGGGAGAGACTGCTTCATTAAACAACAGTTCTAGACAGCGCTTGAAAGTTTAGTGGTCTTTCTGAATGAGTTGGTGAAGGAATAGTTGGGATCTGGTTCATCAGCACTACAGAAATATATCAAAGCATTATAGATTCGGGACAAAGGATCTTTCCCTCTTGCTGGTAACAAAAACTGCTGGTAACAAAAACTGCTGCTCCCAAACTGATAAAATAGCTTGTCAGCTCATGACTTTATCCTTCAGGGTGCTAGTAAAGAAACCATGAATTCAGTGAATAAAAGTAGAGAACGAACTTTGTCTACTGTTTGAACAGGCAAAGAACTCAACAGAAGAAGGACAAATTTGAGACCAGTGTCACTGGACTAAAACTTTGTTCTGCTCCTTCAAACCAACACAGCTACTCACCTGAATCTAGCAACAGAAGAAAAAAATAGGTATTTTTACATTCCTTAGAAAATAAAAGATGTAAGAGCAGATCAAGATGACCAACATCTCTTCCGGTATTTAAAAGTGTAAGATTAGAGGCCTCTGGTCTGTCATCATCATCATCATCATTGAGCTAACCAAATCCCTTAAAAGGTTGATACCCTCATTTTATTATTGTATTAGATTAGGTTGATTTGGGCTCTAGGCATGGTAATGTAGACTTGTGCAAAAAAGTGAGGATCACCCCACTGAAGCCTGAACTAAAAAAAAAGTTTGTCTTCCCCTTCCTGCCCAGTGCCATAACACTGATCCGACCCCCCCAAGCTTTTAAATACAATTAAAACATTAACTGAGCTCAGAATGAGAGTTCAGATCCTTCCTTACCACTGATTTTTTTCATATCTCATTAGCTTTGCCCCTCAGTCTGCCCATACAGGTGGGGGAGAACGTAACCTCTGCCTCTCTGACCCCCCCCCCCCCAATCTGTGTAGCCTGTGTTCTGCCAAGTTCAGGAAAACATTTCCCTCTGCCCTGGTCTGTCATTGAGGAGAGTATATAGTTTGTGCCTCTACCCCGCCCCCCCATGCCTGCCCTCCAGGAGATACAAGCAAATCAAACCTCTGGTGCTAGCAAGCACAGCACCAGAGAAGAAATGACCAACCAAATAGGATAACTGGAGCCTATTGAAACAATTGGATCAATTGCAAGAGATCGTAGAAGGCATTGGAGGAGCAGATCCCCCCCCCCCTGCTTTCCCCTGCAGTGAGCGGGATGAGGTTCACAAGTGGAGGTCACATGACAGTTCTAACTAAGTTCACATACTCCCCCCCTCCCCAATCTCCAGCTCCTCATCACATCTGCCATCACTATTCTTGTCCTTTCAAAAGTGAATGAGAAAACTCACGCAGTGCCAAATCTGTTTCCTCCAACAGCTAACAGAGTCAACAATGCTGGATTTCTATGAAAAAGGAAATATATTTGATATGTTTAAGTAAGAAAGTGGGAGCATGTTTTTGTTTTTTGTAGGAAATCTATAACCATTGTTTTCACACACATACACGCACAGAGACAGACTTCAGCAAACCCAGATTCTGGATATTTGTATTTCTCATTACTAGAGGTTTTGGCTGCTACTAGATGCTTACCTAAATAACCAACATGGCTTGTGTAGCAGTTTGCCCAGAAAACTCAAACTGCCCCTGAAAGTCACTGAAGAGAATTTGTTGCTGTCACTAGAGGATATCTACAGACAGACACATAGGGCTGCCACTGCAGCACTGTGTAGACACATAGCTGCTCAGCAGCTAGTACTGCCATGTATGTAGTTGATGACATCATTTGCCAGCACCATATTCTGCTATTCACTCAGGAACTGTATGCCTGTATGGTGCGGCATCAGCAGCCCTAGTATCTCTGCTGTTGTCTCCTGACCCCCTCTAGTAAAGGAAATCCCCTGCCCCCTTCAGCAATGTTTAGTGGTAGGAGCTAGAGTTCTTCTGGTAAACCACTGGACGTGCTGTGTTTGCTAAACCATATAACACAAGTGAGGGGTCCACAAAACTCGCAGGGGGGAGTCTCAGTCCCCCCCAGTGCTGTCTGGCACAACTCCCTGGGAGCCCAGCCACAGCACAGTGGTGTCTGGGAGTCACTCCAAGCCCAGAGGGGCACCCGGGCTCTGCCACGGTCAGGCTCAGAGGAGCTGCTGGGCTCTGCCACCGCGGCTGGGCTCAGAGTGACTCCTGGGCTCAGCTGCTGGCATCCCCCGTGGCTGCTACCGAGGCCAGCGTGGCTGCCTGTGTCCTCCATGGCTGGGCCCAGTGTGTCTGCTGGCATCCTCCTTCACCAACGGGCCCAGCTGGTGGTGTCTTCCAGCTCTTCATCCAGTAATACAAATGTATTTCGGGGGGGGGGATTTAAACCTCCCTTTACTTTTTTATTTTTTGATTTTTCTGCACACCTGAAGATTCCCTCAAGTGTGGTGAAAAATCTCTTTAGCCTCCGACTGCAGCCATATATAGCTAATAGTAAATAGACAGGTGTAGGCCCACAATACTTGCAGTGGGATTCCCTCAGCCCCCCACTTTCTTACCAGGGCTGCATCCAGCATGACTTCCAGGCCAATGCCTCAGCTGCCTGAGGCCCCAGCATGACTCCTGGGCTGCGCTGCCAGCAGCAGCATGCCTAGCATGGCTCCCAGGCTGCGGTAGCATGGCCAGTGCATCTCCAGGGCTGCACTGGCAGCAACATGCCCAGTGTGGCTCCCAGGCTGTGCGGCCACTGCTGGGCCCAGTGTGGAGCCCTGGGCTGTATAGCCACTGCTGCCGTTGGACCCAGGGCAGAGCCTTGGGCTGCACACATGCCACACTACTGGGCCCAGTGTGGAGGCCCAGGCTGAGTAGCCACCGCCGCTGGGCTCAGCATGAGCCCTAGGCTTCACTTCACAGCTGCCACCTCTGGACCCCACTACCACTGAAGTTAAGTGCATTATCTGCGCTTGAGCAGAGAATGCTATTTTTATTGGGGGGCAATTTAAACCCCCGTGTGCTTTTTCCCCCCATATTTTTCTGCACATCTGGGGAGAATCCCACATGTGCAGAAAAATCTCTTCAGCTCTCACGTGGATTTAGACATCTGCAGATCACACCCATGGGTGGCTAATAGTATACTGATAAGGCCAAAACAATATTTCCTTTCTTACAACTTTCTAAAAGTATTCCTAAATCATTACCTGGCAAATTCTTCCTCAGATGTGTTAGAATTGCCTGGATCCTCTCAGTGTCTAGATCAATTTATGCTAGAATAGAATCTGAGTCCCCAGGCTCCCCACAGAATACTTAAGTACCGTACAAAGTATAAACAGCCTTTCTCTCTCAGTTCATATTTATATCTCAGTGTTGTATCTAAGTGTTTTAAAAACCAACAAACAAAACTTGACCTCTTCTTTAATGCTTGGATCTGGGAGAAAAGGACACTTTCTTCATTCCATCCATCACAGGAGAGATGGTTTTTCCTTATGATTGCAAAGGCAAATACAATGTGAGTGCACAAATCTGGGTTTATATCCTCCGGGGAAAACTTTGCAGGATTGGACCGGTACTGAGCCCACATAGTGACGTAGCATACCATCTTGCAAGGAGACCCTGGTAAAAAAACAAAGACTGTGTGGTTGTTTTAACAAATTTACAGTATTTTTTTCATGCTTATGCTGTAAAGCTGATCAAATAATTTTTTAAGTGTCAGGTGACTCAGTGAATCTGACACCACCTGCAAGACAAATGGGAATTGTGCAGAACACATGTTGATTACTGCCAATCCAAATGGCAGCTGAACTGCAGCATTTCCACATTAGTCAGTATCGCAGTGCTACAATGCACTATCTATCAATAGAAACCAGCAAAAGTCCAGTCAGGGCCGACTTATCTACTAGGCACAATAGGCACAGTGCCTCGGGCCCACAATACTTTTAGAGGCCATGGAAATGTTTTAATTTCTTTTAAAATCAAAAGGGGGGAAATTAACTTTTAGGGTCAAAGAAAATGTTAAGAACATAAGAACATAAGAGATGCCAATGTTGGATCAGGCCAAAGGCCCATCCAGTCCAACACTCTGTATCCCACAGTGGCCAGAAATACCAGTGCCATCAGGAGGTCCACCAGTGGGGCCAGGACATTAGAAGCCCTCCCACTGTTGACCCCCCCCAAGCACCAAGATGACAGAGCATCACTTGCCCCAGAGCACCTATCTATACCTTGTGGCTAATAGCCACTGATGGACCTCTGCTCCATATGCTTATCTAATTCCCTCTTGAAGAACATAAGAACATAAGAGATGCCAATGTTGGATCAGGCCAAAGGCCCATCCAGTCCAACACTCTGTATCCCACAGTGGCCAGAAATACCAGTGCCATCAGGAGGTCCACCAGTGGGGCCAGGACATTAGAAGCCCTCCCACTGTTGACCCCCCCCCAAGCACCAAGATGACAGAGCATCACTTGCCCCAGAGTCCCTATCTATACCTTGTGGCTAATAGCCACTGATGGACCTCTGCTCCATATGCTTATCTAATTCCCTTTTGAAGCCGTCCATGCTTGTAGCTGCCACCACTTCCTGTGGCAGTGAATTCCAAGTGTTAATCACTCTTTGGGTGAAGAAGTACTTCCTTTTATCCGTTCTAACCCGACCGCTCAGCAATTTCATGGAGTGCCCACGGGTTCTTGTATTGTGAGAAAGGGAGAAAAGTACCTCTTTCTCTACCTGCTCTTTCCCATGCATAATCTTATAAACCTCAATCATGTCACCCCTCAGTCGTCGTTTCTCCAAGCTAAAGAGCCCTAAGCGCCTTAACCGTTCCTCATAGGGAAAGTGTTCCAACCCTTTTATCATTCGAGTTGCTCTTTTCTGCACTTTTTCCAAAGCTATAATATCCTTTTTAAGGTGTGGTGACCAGAATTGCACACAGTATTCCAGATGAGGTCGCACCATTGATTTATATAGCGGCATTATGATATTGGCTGATCTGTTTACAATACCCTTCCTAATAATCCCCAGCATAGCATTGGCCTTCTTTATTGCAGTCACACACTGTCTCGACATTTTCAGTGAGTTATCTACTACAACTCCAAGATCTCTCTCTTGATCAGTCTCTGCCAGTTCAGACCCCATCAACGTGTATTTATATTTAGGATTTTTGGCTCCAATGTGCATCACCTTGCACTTGGCCACATTGAACCCCATTTGCCATGTTGACGCCCACTTGCCCATCTTTGACAGATCCCTTTGGAGTGCCTCACAATCCTCACTGGTTTTCACCACCCTGAACAACTTCGTATCATCCGCAAATTTAGCCACTTCACTGCTTACTCCCAACTCCAAATCATTAATGAACAAGTTAAAAAGCAGTGGACCAAGTACTGATCCCTGTGGTACCCCAGTGCTTACCCCCCTCCACTGGGAGAACTGCCCATTTATACTCACTCTCTGTTTTCTATTAATTAGCCAGTTTTTGATCCATAAAAGGACTTGTCCTTTTATCCCATGATTTTTGAGCTTACTTAGGAGCCTTTGATGAGGAACTTTATCAAAATAATGTTTTATTTTTCTCTCACATCAGAAAAAAATGAAATGTTTAGGGCCCATGAAAATTTATTAAATTTTGCCTAAAACAGAAAAAATGTTAAAGCATTTAAAGTTATGTCAAAAATAATTTTTAATATTGATATTATTATGGTGGGAGGGGCACACACAGGAAAAGTGCCTAGGGCCCATGAAAGTTATAATGCAGCCCCTCGTCCAGTAGGACCTTAACAAAATTTGTGGCTGGGTACAAGCTTACATGCTCACTTCTTCAGAGACATTCTTAAGGTGCTACTGGTTCTTCTTTTCTTCTGCTACAGACAAACACGGCTACCCATCTTGATCTATTTATCTATCAATCACACTGCTAAATTGGCAGTGTATATTGGGGCATGTAAGCCTTTGGCTATATACATAATTTTTCTAACATTCTGTTTGGCAGAAAATCTACAAATAGTGATATGTGATCCTAATGTTAATACATCATATAACTTGATTCTTCTCGCCAGCAAACTTACCATCCTCAGAACTGTTTGGCTGAAGAGATGCCTGTTGTTTTAACATAACTTTGTATTCATTGAGAACGTAGACTCTTTCCATGCGTTCATGGTGATTGGTCATAATTATAAAAGTCCCAGCAGATAAGCCATCTAAAATAATCCAGGTACAAAGGTTAGCATAAAGGTCAAAGAAGACGGGTAAGGCAAAGGATGAGATGGTTAGACAGTGTCATAGATGCAACGAACATGAAATTGAGCAAACTTCAGAGGACGGCGGAAGACAGGAAGGCCTGGTGTGATCTGGTCCATGAGGTCGCGAAGAGTCGGACTCGACTGTGCGACTGAACAACAACAACAAACCCTTTTCCTACTGATAGCATGCTATCTATATACTTCATCCAATGTCAGTACTTCAAATAGATTTAAGAGGGGGCCCATACACTGGGTTAGATCCTGTGATCATGGACTTGAGGATCATGGATCTTTCTCACATTCCTCTCTTCCCAGTGACCCTTTCCAACCATGAAAAAGTTTATTACTAAGGTGATAGGGGGGCCCATGTGGGCTAATAGCCCCTCAGGTCAGGAGGCTTTAGTAGGAAGAAGGAAGGGGGTGATATCACCCTCTCCTACATCAAGGCAATTCTGTGAATGGAAGGGCCAGAAAGGGTGATATTGTCTCTTTCCTCCTCCCTCCTGCAGGCTCCCTACCTGTGGCTATTACTCCATAGGAGTTCCATAACCTTTGGAATAAATATTCTTGGGGTCATAAAGGACTACTGGGAAAAGGGAATGCCAAAAAGATCTGAACCATCAACACCTTCCCCTGACATTTAGTAAGATCCAACGTAACATACTAGAGCACTGCCAGATAAAGTACAAGCCCTATCGTGCATTTTGTATCTTTGTGATATAACGTGCAAAGGAGAACTTGTGCACCTCCCCTTTGAAGAGATTATACAAGTCATACATTTGAATTTCTGACTTAACCCATTTCACCAGAAGTTCCAGAGAAAGAAAATCAGAGTCCCTTCTGCTTCCTCTATTAGCACCTATGATTTATTCACAATACTACTGTTTGTGAATTTTCTGTCTGATTACTCTGAATGGGTGTGTCATTATGGTTTTGCCTAAAGTGACCCTTGATGGGAGTTGGGCCATTTGGAAAAGAACAGTAATGCTTCTTAATGGCTGTGGATGTTCCTTCAATGGGAAGGAATTTTTAGGAGATGGTCTCTTGGTAGGGCTCGTTCTTGAATTAGAAGGCGTGCAAAGCAGATGCTACCCCTTCATTTGAGGGAAGGAGGCAGCTCTCTGCATTTGTGTGGAAAATAGCAGTTAGAATGGTTTTTAAAACAAGTTTTTCCAAGTAAATAACATCTGTAAAGGAAAAACAAGAAACTAAAGAGAATTATTCAGGTGGGGAGCCATGTTGGTCTGAAGCAATAGAACAAAGTTCTGAAGAAGTGTGCATGCACACGAAAGCTTATACCCAGAATTAAATTTTTTTGGTCTGAAAGGTGCCACTGGGCTCAAACTTTGTTGCAAAGAGAATTATGTAAGAAGCATAATTAAATTCACCAGATACTTCTAGATGGATAGCCATGTTAGTCTGTCTGTAGCAGTAGAAAAGAACAAGAGTCCAGTAGCACCTTAAAGACTAACACAATTTGTGGCAGGGTATAAGCTTTCATCAGTCACTTGCTCACTTCTTCAGGTATCTGAAGAAGGTGCTACTGGACTCTTGCCCTTTTCACCAGATACCACGCATGGCTATTTGGAGTTCATAGGTACATGACAGCAAGAATAACAGCCTTGGTGTTTAGTCATGCCGGCCACATGACCATGGAAACATCTTCGGACAGCGCTGGCTCTTCAGCTTTGAAACGGAGATGAGCACCGCAACCCTAGAGTCGGACTCGACTGGCTTTCGAACAAGGGAACCTTTACCTTTACCGTTTTTATAATGCCAGGGAATCTTCATTGAACCAGAAGATGAACAAGTAAATGCAGAAATGAATGAAGAATGTGACCATTTCTGTTTAAATCTTGTCTTCTTTTCCCTGTATAATAAGAAGGGACATAATTTTTACAAAAGAATGATTTTGTATGGGTTCTCTTAGAATTTCTTTATGTTGTGCTTCTGTCTTAATAATTAACAGTGCAGTCCCAAGCCTATTGAAAAATGGATTCAGAAGGGGGTTAATTCAGTTTTAGGTTGCACTGTCACTAATTCCATATTATCCTGAGCCATTTCTGTATACATAGATATTTCCCCCCTGCGTTGTCACTTTGTATCCTAGCAACCATTAGTAAGGTAGAGATCAGATCAGCTCTAATAGAAGGAATTGGGGATTACAACTTTGGGGTCAAATATTATTTTGTAGCATGAGTCTTCTTTGATATATTAGGTATATCAACTTTGATATATTAGAGCACGGGTGTCAAACATATGGCCCACGGGCCGGATCCACCTCCTGCAAGCCTCCAATCTGGCCCATGAGCAACTGACTCTGTGCTGCTTCCTGCTTCTAACATCACAGCTCCTTTTGGCCTGTCTCTCCTATTTTCTGATTCAGAGGAGAGAAAGAAAGCCTTCCCTCAATTGGCTGAGGGCTCCTCCCCACCCCCTCCTCTGGGGAGAGGGAGGGAAATAGTCAAAGAGAGGGGGGAAATGGCATCTCGTGTGACTTTTAAGAAGACCAGCAATGTTTTATTCCAGAGGTGTGTGTGTGTGTGTGTGTGTGTGTGTGTGTGTGTGAGAGAGAGAGAGAGAGAGAGAGAGAGAGAGAGAGACCTGTGTTTAAGACCAAAAACGTTTTATTCCAGGTGTGAGAGAGAGAGAGCTGTGTTTAATCCCAAAAACATTTTGTTCCAGTTATAAGCTTTTGTGGGTAAGCACACTTCATCAGAGAGAAAGAGAGGGAGGGAGGGAAAGACCCAGAGAGAGCATGCCAGAGGGAGGGGGGAGGGAGTCCCATGGCAGTTGGAGAAATCCCCCTTTCTATTTCTAACAGATGGGGGGAAGAAACCTAACAGCACAGCTTGCATTCCTTATTAAGAGAAGAAGAGGAGGAGGAGGAGGAGGAGGATGGAATTTATACCACACCCTTCACTACCAAAGGAGTCTCAGAGCGGCTTACTATCTCCTTTCCCTTCCCCTCCCCACAATAGACACCCTGTGAGGTAGGTGGGGCTGAGAGAGCTCTTTGAGAACTGCTCATAACAGCTATGAAAGAAGTTATGACTGACCCAAGGTCATACCAGCAGCTGCATGTGGAGGAATGGGGAATCAAACCCGATTCTCCCAGATTAGAGTCCATGCCCCCAACCACTACACCAAACACCTAACCACTATACCAAACTGAAAGGGAGCAAGAGTACAGCAGCACCTTAATGACTAACAAAATTTGTGGCAGCTTTCATGAATTACTGCTCACTTCTTCAGATACAGCTGGAATGTGAGTCTATCTGTCATTATATCTTCGAGAGGAAAGTGATATCAGATGCCAAATAACAATAGCAGGCATTGGTAATGAGAGAAGAAACCTAAGTCTCAATTCAGTCCAGGAGTTTGCATTGTTTTGAGCTTAGCAGACCCGCTCAGTTGAGTTGCAATTCAGCAGTATCTCTTTCTAATCTCTTTTTGAAATTCCTTTGTAAGAGAACTGCTACTCTTAGGTCAGCAACTGAATGCCCTGGAAGGTTAAAATGTTCCCCCACTGGTTTTTGAATGTTGTGGTTTATAATAGTAGTAGAAAGAGTCCAGTAGCATCTTTAAAGACTAACAAAGTTGTGGTAGGGTATGTGTTTTTGTGAATCACTGCTCACTTCTTCAGACTTATTTCCATTTATTCTTTGCACGAACCTCACAAACTGAACTGGTTCATTTGAAACCTAAAAGTTTCTGATGGTCCGTGGTTCGCAAACTGGCCATGCGACGAACCATTAACTGAACTGAACCACATTTTCCCAGTTCATGACCATCCCTAGTTGTCATTATTCTAGGTAGCTGTGAAATATTTAAGGTGTTCCACAGTGATGTATCTCTTCTGATTGTGTTCATCAGTTTTAAGTGCCTGTGCTTGGGTAGGCCTGTTGCAGTCAACCCCTAATTTCTTCAATAAGAATGCTATCCATTTGTATAAAATGGGGGGGGCAGATATTCTCTGGCAGTATTACACATAATGATGGATATAATTTCAGATTTGTCATAATTTATTTTAAAACCCAAGACTCTGTACGATTTGTCTAATTTCTCTTGATCATAGGAAATTGAGGCTTCTGGGAAGATGGCATAAAGGGAAAAGGCTAATCTTGTGGGGTTGTTTTGTTATTATACCAATAAGATTAGGGTTGCATCTAATTGCTTCAGCTGAGGGCTCTAGAGTGGAAGAGGGGAGACAACAGTAATCTATGTTGAGTTCTCTCCAAACCAGGAAGTCTACCAAATGGAAGTTATTAATTTTCACATATGGCTTTTGGGCTGCTATAAAATATTTTCTGGAAGAACTTGGTCCAAAGTTCACATGTCTCAGCATCTTTGGTATGAATCATTCCGCGAAACTCTCTCTCAATTAAGTTTTGTGAAAGGAATGGACTTCATTTTGCTATAGTGAATAATGTTTAAAGCATGTCTGATGTTGTCTGACATTTGGCTCGATAGCATAAAGCATAAATGTTTATTATGTCTTCCTTGATTAAAAGATTAATCCTGCCAGCCAGCAGGGATGTGATGGACTCAATTTTGCTATGGTTGATAATATTTAAAGCATGTCTGATGTTGTCTTACATTTGGTTCAATAGCATAAAATGTAATTATTTATTTATATTCCTTGATTAAAAGATTAAAACCCCAACAGGGATATGAATATCTTTCTGTCCTGTTTCA